TATTTTATAAGAAAACAGTTATCAGAGTGCAATCCCATAAATCATCATAATGCAAAAACATAGATAGATGTGTTGCGATTAAGTCGGGCCCTTTCCTTTCAACCTGGAGTGCCTGAAACATAAACTGAAAACCGTAAGCATGAAGCTTAGTGAGTTCCCGAAAATACCACATACCATACAAATTATACATGTAACGAGCCCCACCCAATGAGTATAACAGGTCTCGCCCATTGAATATAACGGGCCCCGCCCACTGAATACAATGGGCCCCACCCACAGCTCGTATAATGGCCCCCGCCTACATACAAATCATATAAGCCTAACAAGCTAATACTATGCAGAATAATCATACACATACACATACACATACAAGCACATAACGCGCCCCACCCACTAAGTATAATGGCCCCGCCCAAACTCATATAATGGGTCCCGCCCAGTAAGCATACAAGCACATACACATGCAAAAGTCACACATACATCTAGCCTCCTAATATAACAAACTATGGGCCAACATTGGTGCCTTCGACCCGCTAAACATGGTGAGGAAACTCACCTCAGTCCGCTGATAGCTGAATAACTGCTCAAACCACTAAACCGGTTAACCCCGCTCCAACTAACAATAAATACAATCTTAATCAATAATTAATCTGATAACCCAAAATCCGAGGCCCACTCCATTGACCAACTTCGTAAAGGGTAAAAGACCATTTTACCCTTTTCTTACTTGTCCTAAAACCAAGGTCCAACCCAAATGCACAAAAGCCCAAAATGGTGACCCAAAGCCCAAATCAAAAGCAATAAAAGCCCATTATGGCCTAATAAACCGATTGGGCCCCAAAAACATCATGAACCTACTTCCAAGAAAACCCTAAGTTAATCCATGGCCCAAAGTTAGAAGTCTAATGGCCCAACAAGGTCCAAACCTTAAAAGGGCCCAAAATGACATACTGGGGAGTACGCCCCGCATACTAGAATAGTACGCCCTGCGTACTCGCCATCGAAGCACAAAGTACAAGTCCTTGATGTACAAAATCATCATTAAGCTGAGCGTACACTTGTGTATGCCCAACGTACTCCACCATGGTCCAAAAACCCAAAATAAGCTCTTAATGGTTAAGACAATGACTTCCAAACTTGGATATGACCCTAATGAGATGTCTTAACACGTAAAGTTGGCAACTTTACTCATTTTGCAAGGCTTCATGGGACTAAAACCTTAATATCATCCATAATAAACATCCAAACTCATGCATGGAGTTAAATAATTCATCAAGATCACATTTTTATGAACAAGGGACCTCCCAAAGGCCAAGATCCAATATTCTAAACTCTTGGAGTAGCTCATACTCACAAGGATGAATCTAAGAACCAAAATGAACCCAAAATACTCCTTAAACTAGTTCTAACACTTAGAGTCATCAAGATAGAAACTTTATACCTCCAAAATATAGATTAAGATGCAACAAGCCTGGATCCAATAGCTTCAAGCAATCCTACACTTCTCCCAAGAAGTTCCTTATTCTTCTATGAACACCCAAAAGCATGAAATACCACCAAAAGCTCAAAACCACTCAGTAGGAGCTAGGGTTTCGTTTCTAGGGTTTGGAGGGATGGAGGCTGAAGATAATAGGGTTTGGTGGTGAGTTAATGAGCTTAAATAGGGTCCAAAACCCTAAATTAGGGTTTGGGTCTTACTGGAGTACGCCCAACGTAATTTTGCTACGCCCAACGTACTCCATAAGGAATGCACGATCATTTTCCATAGTACGCCCAACGTACGCCAATGTATGCCCCATGTACTGGCCTTCTCACTAGTACGCCATGTGTACATTTGTGTACGCCCTGCGTACTAAGTTAAACCCTAAAACTATGAATCTTCTGAAGGCCATAACTTCTTCGTTATAAGTCCGTTTCCAACGATCCTTATATCCACAGAAAGGTAACGAGAAGCTATACGCTTCTATCAACTCATCCTTTCCTTAAAACTTCCCGAACAAAAATCCAATTACCATAAAAGCTCGAAGTAACACTTTACCAAAATACCCCTTGGCTCCAAAACACAAACCGAACTCCCGGATCATCTAAGTTACATTATTCACACTCAAATGGGTCTAAATTCCTTTTCCTCAAAGACCCTAAGTCTGATGATACCTGATCTTCGGTCACTACCCCGCATTAGGAAACGATTCGGAATAGGGCATTACATGATATTTAAAGATCTGGGAAACAGATAAGACGAAGGGACGTGTCCGATGGTGGACAAACCGAGAAAGGCATTGAACGAACTACGACCATTAGAGCAAGGACCAAAATATCGTGGTGGAATCTATATATGTTCATTGAACGAAGAGGATGTCATTGTCCTTACTTCCCAAACGACGAAGACGATGACCGCCACTAGAGACATCCCTCCGTCTTCTCTGACGAAGGGTTGTTCGATGAAAGGTTTTCTGACGGTGCTAGATATGTTTGTCACCGGCGATAAGGGTCTAGCTAGGGCCGTTGCAGCGCCGCTGACTTTTGTGTCTCAATTTTCTAGCTCTGATCTACTTTTTTGAAAGGATTGAGCGGCTGGTTGGTAGGCAGCGAAACATTGATTTGAAAATCGACCACGACGAAGATGTAGATCCGAGTGTTTCTTTCTTCGTCGGATTTGTGTCTCGTCATTTAGATCCGAGTGTTTATTTCTTCGTCGGATTTGTGTCTCTTCATCTCCAATCTATGTCTGTCTTCATCTCCCTAGTTTCAGTTTTGTCTTTTCATCTCCCTCCTACTGGCAACAACTTCAGGTGGTGGTGGTTGTGCTACTGGTGGTGGCTTCAGGTGGTAGTGGTATTGGTAATGATTGTGCTTGATTGGTGATGTGGTGTTAAGTGATAAAGGGGTGTTCATAAAAATAAAAAAGACAGATAAAAGGTATGATGTTTACATTTTCTTTTTTATTTTTTTAATAAATAAAATTAATAAAAAAACGAAAAAAATACCAAGAGCAAAATCGGCATTAATAAAAATCATAATAAATTGGACCAAACTTGTAACTAAATAAAAACATTGGACCTTTGGTGCTAGTCCAAACCTTTTTGAACCAGTAATTTTCATGATAACACAAGGAACATTTGTGCAGTTTTGTCTTACAAATATTATCATTGTTAAAGTCTCTGGCGTTGACTAGCCATTTCCCTGCTGACTTAAATTTGCCCCAATTTACCATTAAATTTCTTGGAATTCTCCATATCTCTAGAAAATAATAAAAAGAAAACAACGTCGATTCGTAAGCAATCTTTTAATAACCGGTTTGAACCGGCCGGTCGAACCGGGAACCGGGGGAGGGAACGGTTCAACTATCACTGGTTTTATATTGATTTCTGAACCGGCCGGTTTTTAGAAAAACCCGGTTGAACGGGTCAAAATAAACCGGTTAAACCGAATAAAAACACATGAAAAAGAACCATTTACATAATAAACTTTGGTGATTTTTTTTTCAAAATTCTATTTAGTTTTTCTCTAAATAAAAACATATGGTAAATGTTATAAAGTTTTTTGATGTGGTTGTGTTTATCTAAACTATATTTCGTTTCGATATTATATTTTATTTTTCTTTTTAACGTATATGGATTGATGTAACACAATAAAACTTATAATTATGTGTGATTTAATGTATTTGGATTCCTTTACAACTTATTTTTATGTGTATTTTTAATAATTGAACTTGTAAACATCAAATTCATAATTTATATATGTATGTATGTGTAGGAAAATAAGAAAAAAACATGAAAAATATAGAAATCGGTTCATTCGGCGGTCGAACCGGTTAAACCGGTTGAACCGAGAACCGGTCACCATATCGGTTCAACTAAAAAACCGGTTTTTCAAACATTGTTTGTAAGGCAAAGGAGAACCATCCCATCTTATCCTCTCTAGCAGTCTTCCTTCCTTCCACGTTGGCTCGTCATTTCCCTGCCGACAAACCTGTATAATAATTTTCAGTCGTCACTGCTTGTTCGTTCTCTATCATCGCCGCTTCAGGTCTCCTTGTCTTCCTGTCGGTAGGTAACTGTGAAGGGACATTCTTTTAGTTTAGTTTCACATCTTGTAAGACAATTTCATCTTATTAATCATAAATTACATCATAATCATTTTTTATTTTGTTAACAGATGATTGAGTTTTGTCTACTCAATTACTGTTGCTCAATTAATTATGGAGAGTTTGAAATTGAAACCTTAGACAGGGCATGGCTTGTTAGTTTCAAAATCATATCATTTGGATCAAACCCATGAATGAAAGTTGAAATCCTTTAGATGTATGCTAATACTAAATCCAGTGATAGAGAATTTCAAATTTGAAAATATTTTTGTTGCTAATTTGGGGGATCCATAAACAACCACGTCAAGAAACTTACTTTTTTTTTTGTTCAGATCGTTTAATTGTTTCTATTGCTATTTCTCTTATGAGGGGTAATAGTGAATCTTGTAGTTGTTTATAGAATGGTATTTGGTGTTGATTTGTTTAAGTGAACTTCAAATGGATTTTATTTAGACATTAGTAGGAATGTTTATGTGGGTTAATCAAATCGAAATCAAGGGTTAAAACACACATTACGTACTATATAGCTCCAAAATCAACTCGAAACTTGAAGTTTGGGAATAAAAAGTGGGATATTTACACATATAGAGTTTATTTGTGTTGTAATCTAATCACTTTAAAGTTTATTTTCGAAGAATTCAAGGATACTATTATCATTGAGTTTCAAATTGTTTGATGAGAATTAAGTTGCATATAGTAGATATTAATAGTTTCGAATTTATGTAGAGGCATTTTGTACTAGATCCCTACATTGGAACACAAGGGAGGAAAGCCGGTGAAACCAACTTTGATAACCGATAACGTGTGGAGGAGTTTCAGAACTTACTAAGATACACCCTGTATATAAGTAGAAACTTTAAATAAATGCAGAAAATCGTAGGAAGGGTGAAGAGTCATCAATCCTTAACTCATAATGGTTGTTCTATCTGCACTTCCAGAAGGATCTTCATCTTCTTCATCTAGTCTTGGCCATAATTCACCAACTCGTGGCCATAGTTCATCAACTGATGGTCATAGATATGATGTATTTCTAAGTTTTAGAGGTGTTGACACTTGTCATAGTTTCACTGATCACCTTCATCAGGCCCTCATTGATGCCAATATCACTACCTTCTTGGATGATGAAGAGATTGAAACAGGGGAAGATCTAAAACTAGAACTGGAGACTGCAATTAAGGCATCTCGGGCTTCTATTATTGTGCTGTCTAAGAATTACGCTTTTTCAACATGGTGCCTGGATGAATTGGTGCTGATCCTTGAGCAGCGTATGACATCCAACCATATTGTTATCCCAATATTTTATCATGTGGAGCCCACACATGTCAGGAAGCAACAAAGTAGCTTTGGAGATGCAATGGCTAAGCATAAACAAACAATGGAGGCAGAGACAAATGCAAATAAAAGAAGTCAATGGGCTCAAAAGTTGGACCGATGGAATAAAGCGCTTAAAGAAGTTGCTAATTTAAAAGGAAATGATGTTTATGGAAGGTAACGACTTTATATCTTCATGCACATCTGATTTCTTTTTTAGTAAACACATGAAATGTCAATAGCATCTTTTGCCTATGCTTTTCAATATCATCAAATAACTCGGTGATCTCCTTAATTCATACATATACATAGATTAACCATCATGATAAATTTGACATGTTTCTGTGCATTTAGTATTTTATTATCAGGTAGTTCTTTAAGATAACCTATTTTCAGTTATTTTAATATGTTTTGAACCAAATTTTGAACAGTTTTATATGCATCTACTATCAATTATGTTAATATGTTCTTACCTGTGAGTAGTAGAGGATAACCTAAAACTGGCATATATTTTTCAGACACATGCAAAACCACATTGATAGTTAAGTTTGATGGTCTTGTAGAAACATAGTGAAGTTAGTTGGCCCATTAGTGAAATTGTAACATGTTGATGGATTTTGCTTTATCATACATAAATATTTACGACCTTACACATTAGGTGCTAATCCTATATGGTGTTGATGTGAAGAAGTTAATTAAAATTACAACTATGATATACTTTTGATTTAGATCTTTGGATAAACTAAATCTCCAAATCTAGTTTGTTAGTTTTGTGTACTGTGTTTTGTAACTCTTATCAAATCAAGTTTCAGGCTAGAGACGGAATTTATTGAAGAAATTGTGAAGGACATCCACCGTAGGTTACATGTACCCTTAAGGAGTGTTTGGCAACAACTTATTGGGATGGACTATGATATTAAGTTCATCACTTCATGGTTGAAAGATGGATCCTCACATATGGAAGACATACTCACTATTACGGGAATCGGCGGGATCGGGAAGACATCTTTAGCCAAACATATCTATGACCTATATTGGTGTAAATTCAGCACAAGCAGTTGTGTTGAAGATATCAGTTGGAGATGTGATGGAAAGTTTAATGGGCTGCTTGATATACAAACACAACTCTCGGATGACATTTCAAAAAAAGTTTAATTCAAGTTCATAATGTTTCAACATACACCTCAAAGATAGAGAATGCATTAGCCCGCAAAAGGGTCTTTATAGTTCTTGATGATATCAATACTATTGATCAGTTGGATGCATTACTCGGAAACAAAGGTTTTCATCCCGGAAGCAATATTATAATAACAACAAAGGAAAGATGGTTAACACAGAGTTGTGCATTATTCAAAACAAATATTAAACCCAAGCATGTAGAATGCTTCCTTAAAGGCTTATATAGGACTGAATCATACCAACTTTTGTGTTCCCATGCATTTATGTGCAACCATCCCAAGGCAGGTTATGAAGAGGTGTTAGAGAAGCTTGTGAAGTATTGCCAAGGACATCCATTGGCTCTCAAAGTTTTGGGCAAGTCGCTACATAATCGAGATGTAGCTTACTGGGAAGCGTGCATACAAGGGCTAAAAAAAGAAACATGTTCCTGTATAAATAATGTCCTGAGAATGAGCTTTGATTATTTGCCATCTAACAATGATAAGGAGTTGTTTAAGCATATTGCTTGTTTTTTTGTTGGAATAGATAGAGATGTTACCGAAACAATATTAGAGGCATGCAATATAAACATGAGATCCGAAATCATTAATTTCATTGACAGATGCCTTCTTAGTATAGGACGGAATAATGAATTTAAGATGCATCAGTTGGTTCAAGAGATGGAAAGATTCGAAGTACTTCAAGAATCACTTGACAAGCCATGGAAGCGCAGTCGATTATGGTGTCATGAGGAGTCGTTCAAAGTATTAAAGAAAAAAAAAGGTAAGAGCCTTTGTAACCCTGTATAGTTGTTAGTAATGTGCATATTTTAAGTATTTTGTATTGTCTAATTTTTGTTAGGTTTTGGTTCTTCTTAGGGTAAGGGAAATATTCTAGGCCTTGCTTTGGACATGCGAATGGTTGAGAAAGACAAGTCAGGTGCATCATTTGAGGTGAAAATAGATGCGTTGAGTAACATGGATAATCTGATGCTGCTACAACTCAATTATGTGCACATGAATGGTTCTTATGAAAACTTTCCGGAAGAATTAAGATGCTTATGCATGCATGGGTACCGTTTAAATTCTATACCTTTAAATTTACCAATGGAGAATCTGGTTGCTCTTGACAATCATATAGCAATATTGAATCATTTGTCATTTGTGATAGTAATCCACAACGACATGAAAAGAGACAAAAGGTAACTTATCTTCCTTTGTTATTATTCCATGTTGATTTGGTGAAATTCACTATTACTCTAACTTATCCCTATTTCACCAGATTAGCGGATCATGCTTAAAACACAAAAAGGTACTTGGATCATTGAAGATTCTTAATTTAAGTTTCTGTAAACAACTTTGTAGTCTTGGTGACTTTGACCAACTCCCTGCTCTTAAGTGGTTAATAGTTAGAAATTGCATTGGTTTGCATGAGGTTTGTGAATCAATTGGGCAATGTGTTAAACTTGTCTTAATCGATCTGAGCTACTGCAACAAGCTTGAAAAAATTCAAAAAATCATAGGCATGTTAAGGAATGTTAAAATAGTGTTCCTAGATCATTGTAATCTTGGGGAATCACGAATCAAGATTAGGGATATTGATTTACCAGAAAGGCTCAAGGCTAACAACATTGACGTAAATACAATAACCTCTTCCTCCACCTTTGTGGGTGCTATACCAAGTGATTTGAAGTTCTCTGCATTTTCTTTACCTAGGTCTTTAGTAAGTTTGACACTTGCAAATAATAATTTGTCCACTGAATCCTTTCCCATGGACTTCAGTTGCCTATCCACGCTAGAGCATTTATATTTAGACGGAAATCTTATCGATTCCATGCCCATTTGTGTGAGAACCCTTCCTAGGCTTGAGATACTTAGCATGAATAATTGTAAAAATTTGAAGTCAATCGAGCATCCTCCACATACACTAAGAGCGTTGTTCCTCGCTTCTTCTCATAGGTCCTCTATAGAAAAATTGGTATTAAATCGAACAACATCCATACTCAGATTATCATATGACGATAGAAATTACGGACGTTGGTCATATGAAATAGAAGGCGTGGTCAAAATCCAAGCAATGGTGGGTGTTGAGGAAGAGGTATTGTGTAGCTTGGGATGGACTAATTTAGACTTCCGTAACGACACGCGTGTGAGAACTAATTTTCGGAGATCTGGAATCCAGGTTTTGTCTAGTTAAATGTATGTCTTTATGTGAATACGTTTAATATAATTATTATGGTGATTAATTAAGGTGGGTATTTGGCAGACGATGCATTATGAATTTGGAATATTTACCACAATGTATGAGGCGGAGGAGATGCCGAGTTGGTTTAGGCATAGAAGCGCGGGGCCATCAATATTATTTACCATCCCATCAACTCCGAACTGCCTTAGAGGATTCAACTTCTGCTCTGTGCAGACGTTGCAAGTTCCATATAAGGATTCAAGTATCCATCTTTCAACAAAGATCACAATTAGTAATATAACAAAGAATCGCACATGGATATACCGTCGCTTGACCAGATTTAGTGTATGTCAAGAGTGTTGCATGATGTTAAGTCATTGGATGTTTGGAATGAATGACATGGAAGGTGGTGACCAGGTTACTATTACTATTAAAGGGCCATATAATGAACTTATAAAGGAGTGTGGGGTGAGAGTCCTGTATGATGATGATGATAATGGTGCGTTGGATTATTACAAGTCATGGAATCACATCATTGGTGGAGATCTCTCTTGTTTTCAAACAACAGGAGAATATATCCTACGCAACTGGGATATAACATTCCAGTTTATGAATTTTTTCATCGGATACTAAATTCATTAGAGAAGGCCCCAGCTATCAAGGTTGATGTCATTATTATTAAATATTTTGTTGTCAGAGCCTTATGTATATCACCGGACCCATGACCAAACTTCATTAAATAGATGAACAATGACCTATTTATTTTAAATAAATGGATCATAGCCTAATTCTTCTAAATAAGTACATCATATGACCCAAATCCACCCATTTATTATTGATTTTGTTTGCCCTCTAAGATAAGAGTTTATTTTTAATGGATCGATCCAGATGCACGATGGGTTGACCCAAGTATTGACCCGTCTAAATGGGTTGATTTGCTACAACAATTGGTCAAGTTTTTTGATATGTTGGTTCACATAATTATAATATACCGGGACCAATACAACTGCTTTGTCCAAGTGGATGTGTGTGAATAGTGATCAACGCAATACTTTTTTTTCTCCGTATTTTCAACACAAAAGGAAGTATGGTTCAGAGATTCTTCGCAAAGGAAGCGTGACATAATTGGTCATGCACGTGAGGTATATTTTTATACCCAAACATTTCTCTCATCACATAAATAAAGGAAAAATGACTTAGATTTTGTCCACATTTGGTCACTTTCAATTTTTTTTTTTTGACACCATTGACCATTAAACTCTCATTTTTTGTTCAAGTTATAGTAAGTTAATGCCCAATTGGCATATACTTGGCATATATGTGGTGGCATTTGAGTTTAGCTGATACGTGATATAAGGTATTTCTTCACCCTCTTGCTCTTTTGTGCCGTAGAATCACAAAATCGACATGTCTTCTTCTTCTTCTTAATCTGCCAGTCAAAATCAAGAATTCCAAATTGAAAATCTTTGGAAATGTGGGTTATCTTCTCGATTGAGGACATCAAAGACTGATGACAACCCTGAAGAAAGTTTAGAGTGTGCCCTAACTCGATGGTAAACCAAATTATGTTTTTTCTTTAACACTTCTTTTTTATGTTCTTGTTTTAACATTTCTATTTTTTTCAAGACTATAAGGAAAAGTTGCAATTTCTAGGAGTGGTTGATGAAGATATTCGATATGAAGATTTAGACATCATGTTGAAGTCGAAGAATATGGGTGTAATGGAAGCGTAAGAACTAATGCTGAAAATTTGCTACATCAGAGCATCAGATGAAGATGGACCATGAAATGGAGTCACTGAAATGGAAGGTGTCCACTCACAAAATAGTGCTCTTTTTGTTGTTTGTTATGTTTGTAGTTAATCTACTTTAGGTTAGGGATTAATGGCTTAGTGAAAGTTGGCTTAATGGGTTAATGTACTTTGGACGTAACTGAAAATCGCTTAATGAAAGATGGATTTTAGCTAACTGATTATTAATGACAGTTTTGGATGTTTTTTGACATGGCTTAATGAATGATACATGTTGGGTTACCGATTGTTGATGACAGACAAACATAAAACTATCAAACAAGTATGTGTCGTGAACATAAAACAGATAAACAAATATAACCATGAACATACTAAATTAGAAAAATTAAAGAACATCATAATGTTAACAGACAAACTAGCATCACATACATATCAAAAGTTTGTACAAAGTAGCATGTAGATGATTACAAAAGGTGTGCAAATAATACTTCCAAACAGTTTGTCTTCCCAAAAACATAAACAAAACACATATCACTACAAGGACATTGGGTGTTCTTGACTGCTTCCAGCTCCATTCAACACCACTTTCCTTTACAACTTTATCTTGGTAATTCTTTGTGTGGGTTTCCTTATGCTTCACACAATATGAGAGACATGCACATGTGGTTCCTTTTCATGAGGTTCATCTTAAGTTGGTTTGGGAACTTCCATGTGTCCTTCAACTTCTTGTTCCACTTGAATTTCCACACCTGTTTTCACTAAAAAAAATGTAATTTGCAATATTATTTTGTTTTTGCCAAAAATATTTTTGTTGCAAGTTACAAAACATTTTTTTTTGTCTAGGTTATGGAGCTTTCTTTGTTTTTACAATTGAAGTAGAAGCAGCTTCATTTGGTTTTTGAGGACATGTCCTTCTATTGTGTCTTGTTGCTCTATGTATTGTACATCTGGAATCCATAATAGTGTACATGTAACAATTTCCAAACATGGTTGTAGTAAATGATGGTGCAACGAATTTCTCTGCATATTTGTTAAGAAGCAATACTCTGCATATTAGTTTTCCATGTATTATAGCATCCTAATTTTAAATCTTTCTATCACAACATTTTCCTTTAAATTAGATTTTCTTACTAAGGTATTGTAGTTTAAAAATACCTACCCAATTATAGCATTGTACTTCAAAAAAATTCTTATTAGGATGTCATAGGTTAAAAAAATATATCCAATTACAAGGGTGGAAATTGTTTGTATTTGATGACATCTCTATAATCGAGTAGATTTTAAAGTACAATGGTGTAAGAAGGATAAATTAAAGATAGGATGATATACTAATGAAATCAATGAAAGTATGTTACTAATATTTCTTGCATATAACCCTTAAGAGTCTGTTGAAGATGGTAGCCTTAAATATTTAAACATTGAAGATACATTTAAACATATTCTAGTTCAGGCATTGTACCTTAATAAATCTACCAAAGTATGTCATTCAATTCTATTTTTATATTTTATTTTAATTTAAGAAAACTGTACTACGGATATCTACCCAGTCATAGCATTGTACTTTGGATATACTTTACAAAAATTTATCCAATTATTGATTTGTAACCGGGTAGATTTTTTTGTAAAATGCAATGGTGTAATTAGAAGAAATTGAAATTAAGATGCTATAATAAACATATAAATCAAAGTATGCTGATACGTCTTGCATTTTAAAAGAGTTTGTCAAAGATGTTACTCTAAAATATTCAGAATTTGAAAACCGGTACATGCCATCACACATATAGGCACACAAGTTCATGAAAGTAATTAAAACGAAAACACAAAGAAGAGTAAATTACCAAAGGGCTTCTAGCCCAGCACTATCAGATGTTGCCCTCCTTCCTTAAGGTCGAGGGTTCAAGTCTCGTCTGGGACATAGGTGGTAATAGGAGTGGATTATATTTGCTGTTCCAAAAAAAAAATCAAAAAAAAAAGGAAAAAGAAAAAACAAAGATGAGTAAATTTCAAAAACTACCCCCGTGGTTTATCGTTTTTTATGGATATTGTCTCAGTTTTTATAGATATGGTCATTTTTATGGAATTAGCACTTTAGTTTAGGAGTTAGGCCTCTGGTTAGCCAACCCAGAGACTATGGTGTTGTTTGTTTCTTAGAAGCGAAAATGTCTGAAGTCTGCAGACCATCTCTGCAATCCTCTTTAGCATAAGAGGTGGACCAAACGACTGCAACATGTAATAAAAAGTATGTTTGTTTTTTAATGTCTACATACTGTAGTAAGTTAAAGTAAGGTGTGAAGAGGTTTGAAGCGAAGGGTCCAATGCTGCGCCACACAGCAGTTCTTCTGACTTAAAAACAAACAGTTGCGAAGGGCCAAGTGTTGCGCGGCGTAGCAAGAAGTGGTCAGAAGTGGTTATTTAGAAAAAACAAACAACCCGTATAACTGTTACCAAACGTCGTTTTGGGGACAGAAAAGGAAAAAAATAAACGAAGCTATTGCACCATATCCATAAAAAGGGACAAACCACACGGACGATTTAGGTCAACAAATGATTAGTTAATGAAGTAGTTTATGGATTTAACAGTTAGATGGCCAGGGACTAAAAGAGTGTATACAACATTTTAATGGACTATTAGAGGTCATAAGTTCAATCATTAACTTTTTTACTTGATGTAAATGGTGTTTGTGATTTCATTTTCTTAAACAGTTGGCCTGTCTCTAAACCATACAAAATGATATTTATACCATTTTAATATATTTTATCTTTTTCTTTTACTTAATTTTATTTTTTAATATATCAATATAGAAGGACCCACCATACTAAAGACTACTAAAGTTATATTGAAGCTCAGAAAGATTACTAAAGTTATATTCAATCTTAGAAAACTACAAGAAAGGTTGTATACAACAAAGCAAGAATAAAAGAACTCCAACAAGAAAGAAACTGTATCTTTTTTGATTATTTTGAGGAATGAGGTGTCTAAAAATCTCAAATCTGCATAACTTTAAGATTGGGTATCTAAAATTTGTTGTAGAATAATTTGTATAACAATAAAAGTGGTGCATCAAGTTGCAGGTATAATTATCTTATTCCACATACTAAAAGCATTGAACTGGAATATTTGGTTTATAAATAGAGTCCCAGAAGAAAATACTATATTTTTTTATCAGCTGGAAACATATATAGCTCAGATAAACATCTCCCCAATCACCTGGATAGTAGATACCATATGAACCAATGTAAAAAAACAAACAACATAAGCATTTCATCAAATACCTTGACTACGTGATGTAAGATGACCACATTCAAAAACAATGTAAGAAGGAAATTTTAAACTTTGAAAAAAAGTATATAACCTTCTAAACATTGGGACTGAAAAAGAAAAACATAGAGTTTTTTTGCAAAAAGAGGGCACTTTTCAAAAAGCCTTGTAGAAATGGAGCTCTTTTAAACGGGGTTCCTAGCCCACAAACTCAATGCGTAAATGAAAGGAGCATTCACAAACTTACAACATTGGTCCTTTGTCTTTTAAAATATGTTAAAATTTTATCCTTCTATATATTTTTTTCTACATTTACCTAATATATATAATATTATATAGCTTAAATATATTATTAAATTTTAAAGATAGCGTTTAATTGTTTTTACGACACAAACGATCTCATTTATATTCCAAAATTTTGTAATATTAAATATTATTTTAATTATACATATACAATTAACATATAATTATTGTTAAAATCATACTACCTTCCACACCTACCCATATTTGTCTCAAGTATCACCACAACGCCCTAACACTATAATCTACATATTGTGCGCTCACCCTCACTACTAGGGGAAATCGCCTATTTTGCAACAGATCACACATCTCCGCACAACTCAT